CATAAAATAAGTTTCAAAATCATAATTACATAGCGTAGATAACTTGTAGCTTAAATCTTATTTAATCTAACTCTTTATCGAACTCCAATTCAATATCTTCTTCTTCATCAATTCGTCATCCGTATCGTCCGATACAAAAATATCATTCTCGGGCTCCTAAAGTTATACATACCTGATACCTAAATCAGTGCGGTGTGCGGAGAAATTGAGAGGTTTTACGCCGTTCTTCAGTCTTTTTTTTTTTTCCGTTCTTCCGTCTTAGTTCTCTGGAGTCTTGGAGTTTTTGAAAATTTGAAGGAATAGTGGACTACTGAGTCTGAGCTGTGGGTTTTATTAAAAAAAAGGAAAAAATTGGGCCCCCTTAAAAAAGGGACCTGAGGCGGAGGGCACCTAGCGACGTCTAGGCGAGCATTAAGGGTCACCACTTAATTCCCTCTTAGGCTCAAGACGAAGCGTTTTCATCACACTTCCCGCTTAGGTGCGCTTTTTAGAACAGAGATTGAGATATCAAGGCCAAGTTCAAGTAGTAAGAGCGAATACTTACTAGGTCATTGGCCTGGGCTCGAGTTTTATTTGGGGGATGAAAGGGTAAAGTTCAAGCAAAGGAAGAAGATTTATAGACATTGACCCCCTAGCTTCCAATGCAATTTGATTGGTTAGGCTCATTTATCTTCTTATTTTCCCTTGTGGAATTTGGGTAAGTTCTAGTCGAATTGGTTATTAACCTAGATCATCTTAAAGGGATTGTATCAACAAGACTGGTGTGTAATTGGGTATTGGGAAAAGTAAGTATATGCTGTGGAACTTGATGTTTATAAATATTATAACCCTAAACTAGTAAACCAAGAAATACAATTTTGAGGACACCTAAAAAAGATTGGAAACAAAATTGAAAAGTAAAAAGAAATATTATAATAGCAAATCCTAAAATTACTTGGCAGATTATAAGTACGTGTATAATACTTGATGTGAGGTATGAAGCGTGGACATTTCTACTAAGAGCCTGTTTCGTACAAATTCTCATTTTCTACAGTAAATCAATTCTCATTTTCAACCATACATTCTTCAATAAAATAATATTTTCCATCATATTAATACTTTTTTCTTCTTTTTCAATCACACATTTCCCATTATATTACTATTCAAAAATCAATTCTTCCCCCAAAAATCCCTACCAAACACACTCTAAGTCTAGTGTCCATGTCCGACATGGGATTGGATGCTGACACTCCTTAGAAACTCCAAGACATGTCTGATATTTCCTGTTTTTTGTACAAGTTTAACTCAGTTATTTTAATATGACAAATAGCCACTCATTCGATTTTAAAGACTTCACCAGTGAAAACCAAAACTCGAAAAAGTTATTTTTATTAAATTTTAAAGAATTTAAATTAACGTGTCCACGACGTGTTTGTGTCCTTTTTTGGAAATTTGTGTACCGTTGTGTCTTATCATGTTGTGTCCGTGTCCATGCTTATTATCTGTTTTTCTATATGTACATGAAAAATTAAGTAAACTGTATATCTTGAAGTCACAATTAAAGTTTCTTTGCTTTCCTTCAAGCAAGGTCACAGAATTGGTAGTCAGGCTTTCACTCCTAACTCCCAGGACAAAGTGCTGGTATTTCATATAGATTGACCTGGAGGAGGCTTCAAAGAATTCTACTTGGATTCAAGAATGGACATTGGACTTAGGTATGTGTCTATATACTGGTATAAAATGGACAAAGGAGAACTTTATATTCCAATCTTTATCTTTATGGTTTTAATGGTATCTGAGTTCTTCGCACAGAAAAATCTCAATTTCCCAAACCAATAACCTGGATTGAATGCCATTGTGTTTCTACTTTATGTAATTTTGTGGTATTACAAATGAAAGGTGGCTAATTGTGCAGTTCTAGTAATCTAGCTTGGTTCGTATTGAAGTATGATACCGAATGACAAATTCTCAATGCATCATACTTAAAATTATGTGTTGTATTACACAGTAAATGTTATCAAAACTTTGTCGCTAACAGAACGCTCTAGCAGCAGGTAATAGCACTGTAATGGTCAATTTTGAATTACACTTTCAATTTGGTTAATTCCGGCAATGTATTCTCCACTTTGATGAATATTTATAGATGTATCCATAGTTCTGCTGTTGTAGGTTTATCAGTGCTTTTGACTGTGTAAATTTTAACCGCCTGAAAAATAAATGGTTCTATCTATATAATATTTTCTTTTTTTGTGATTATACTTCTGTCATTTTCATATTTCTCTTTGCTTGGTATCTCTTTGTTCGCTTGTCTCTCCTTTTCACATGTATATTCATTCATCGTTTGTGCATTTATTTTGTTTGTTTTATGTTCTTATTCTGAATCCTGGATTAGCTTACGGTAAGAAGTAAGTTGTCTCTCAGGAAAGGTTATTATTAGATTTTGAAGTTGGCCAAAGATATAATAGTTCAATAATTGTCTTCACTTTCAATCAGATCCTTTTTTCATATAATCTTTTTCCTCTCTAGACCAAAACCTATGTAAATACTTCGTATTCTGGGTGCATGGAGTAACTCTTGTTTGGTACAGATTAGAATCAGATTTCTGTTAGATTTTGATAGAAGTTGATGAAATGAGTAGTTGAAAAGTTGTGATGCCAATAAAATATGTTATTAAAATTAATTGTTGATTTTAACTTAGATTTTAATCGGTACCAAACAGGGGCTTAATATATCTTACCTACTTTCGTAGTGTGGCTCTTTTTTCTCCTCTTGATAATCTTTATGTGCTAGTTTATTTCATTTTGTTTTTAACATGTTTCTATTAATATACATACATAAACTCTTTCTATTTCAGAGCACACGGTGTTGGATCCTTCTAATTCAACATTTTTATTTAGTATGACAACCTACTTCTTGGTTCTCTATTTTTTTGTTTTTCACATGTTAAATCTTCCCGCTGATTTACTTGAATAATTTTTATTTTGGGTGCACAGTGTTGGATCCTAATAATTTTGCATTTATGTAATATATTTGACTAGTATGGCACTTTTTCATTTTTCCAAACGTTAATCTTCCTGCTCTATGATGCACAGGGTTGATTCATTTTATTTTGAACGTGTTTATCGATCCACGTAAAGACTTCCAAATTTTAGATGCACAGTGTTGGATGCTCTACCAATTTAGCAGTTAATTTGATATGCCTGACCTATTTTTTTAATATCATAATATTTTGCATATGACTTAGAAGTGCTTATTATGCAGAATTCATTTCCTTTTTCCTTCCTCTGTTGGTGTAAATCCATTGCATCTTCATGGCATATATTATGTTCATTAAAGAGCTAGCAAGATTTCACATTGTTTTTTCAATTAACTAATGGTTTCGAGTGACTTGTTTATGGGTCTTGGTTTCCTTTGATTTCACAAATCTTAAATTTTTGTTTGATTATGATCTACCCTTTCTCCTCCCTCCTTCTATGATCTCTAATGCTCGGACTCTTCAAAATAGTTGGAGTACTCATGTCGGACACGACATGGGTATGGGTATAAGATATGTGTCGGATCCTTCAAATTTCAACCGGACACTTTGTCGTTTTTGCTTCTTCTTCNTAGTGTTTTGCTTGTATAAAATGAAAATAGATTTCATATAGTGCTACTTAGTGTTCCACTAAGTCCAAATTGCAGTCAATACCCTCATTTTCTATTTTATATAACATTTAGTAATTTTCATAATTGAAAACTAAACCCAAAAATTCTATTTTATTCGTGTTGACCCCTTATTAAATACCAATTTTCTTCATTGTGAATAATTAATTTTGGTTTATTTAAAATGACATCATGGATTAGTAAAAAAATTAAAGTTTGAAAGACGTACTCACGTACTCGTGTTTGAAATTTAAACTATTTTTAACCATGTTCTCGTATCCTACATTTTAGAAAATAAAAGATCCGACACTTAGATACGTATGCATACATGTTCTGGAGTCCAAGCATCATAGGCTATGATCCTTCCTAACACACAGAGAAAACGTCGAAATGGAAAGGAAAGAGCTATTTTTTGGTTGCCGTTATATATTTATACTATTGGCTCTTTCCTTTTTGCTGCAGTTCATATGCACCATGCCCACACTATTATTGCAGGAATATTTTGTTAGTGAAATGTTGATTGAAATTTTATGATGTCAGACGAATTTTGTTGAGTAGCCACATGCAAAAACTTTGAGATGTATATATATGATCCCAGATTTTTCAACTAGATTTTTAAATTGATGGAACCAGATTTAGTATTGGAACAATTTTTAAATGATGATGTGATTTTCTATAGATTTTGACCTAATTCCATGATGATACCTCACTTTTGGACTTGGGAAATCATGTTTCAAATTATTTTAAGCCAAATTTTTAAGAGTTAAGCCTTTTTGTCACATGATTTTGCCCACCTATTTGACAGATGCAATGTTGGCAATAGATGATTGAATGCAAAAATTGACTGTTTTTTAAACAGTCCAATGATAGAATGACACATACATTTTGTCAAAGAAGTGGCCAATATATTCTGTCAACGTCGCCTGATTCCCTTTTTCTAAGGCACTGGTATTTTTGGACTTCTCAACTTAAATTAATTATTCCGTACAAAAGCATGTTTAAGCATTAGACATTTGGTGGCGATCATTTTAAGATTTAGCATCTCTTACGGAAACCAGAAACTATTTTGTATGCGCTCTTCCATGCATGAAACATCAAAACTACTTGCAAGTTGTCAATGCAGTAGCCAGTAGTTTGGATGTATATTTTCTACCTTTTTCTGAATTTCTCGTGCAACTTGTCAATGCAGTAGCCAGTAGTAATGGGTATGTATTTTGGACAAATGAGAGCATATTTTCAATTGTCCGTATGTTGTCTCCTAATGATAAATATTGTTTGGATGCTATATCTTCAATGAATTTCTTGTTCGATTTAGAAAGTATGTGGATAATTCCATATAATAACATTGTTGTCAATTTGTTATCCTATTTATTCTTGCGTTTTATCATATAAGGCCAATGCCAGTACTGTCGTAAGTAGTGCCTGATCGTAACATATTTGTATTGCAGATTTAATGTGGAAGAACAGAGTGTTATATCAGGTGGGACATCAACTGGGGCAGGGGAAGTTTCTGATTCCAACAGTATTTCCCACCTTCATAACAAATATCCGAAACATGATTACGCCGTCTCCGGTTCAAAATTCAAAGGAGTGGTGAGCCAACAGAATGGGCATTGGGGTGCTCAGATATATGCTAACCATCAGCGCATTTGGCTCGGGACTTTCAGGTCAGAGAAGGAAGCTGCAATGGCATATGACAGTGCAGCTGTCAAGCTTCGTAACGGAGACTCACAGCGAAACTTCCCTTTGAGTGATGTCACTATCCATGAGCCAAACTTCCAAGGTCAGTTCAGTGCTGAAGTAGTCCTCAACATGATCAAAGATGGTTCCTATGCGTCTAAATTTTCTGATTATCTGTCAGCACGGGCCCAATTAGGTCATAGTTTGGCTACTCTGCCCAATACAACAGGGTTTTTAGGCCGACAACTTTTCCAGAAGGAACTCACACCAAGCGACGTTAGCAAGCTTAATCGTCTCGTCATTCCAAAAAAGTATGCCGTGAAGTATTTCCCTCGTATATCTGATTTGGAAGAGAATAATGATGGTAATATGGAGGAAGTAGAACTGGTATTTTTCGATCCCTCAATGAGGTCATGGAAGTTTCGCTATTGCTATTGGAAGAGTAGCCAAAGTTTCGTGTTCACTAGGGGCTGGAATAGATTTGCAAAAGAAAAGGGACTGAGGCCAAGGGACAGGATTATTTTTAGTGCATATGAATGTAGAGATGGATCAAACGAAGTTCGGAAACTCTGTATGATTGATGTTGCATATTATGATGGTGCTCATGGAGATGGGATTTTGGCCAGTAAGAATGGTGAGGTTGCATTGCAACTTCAGATTGCACAGCCTACTGATGATCTTGATCATGGGGAAGAAGTTGAGGAAATGGATTTACAACAGAATGGGGAAGATGAAAATGCATCTGGAGAAGAAAGGGATTTTTTGGGAACTTTTCCAACAAATACAGAAAAAATTGGTTTCAGGCTATTTGGTGTTCAAATTACTTGAGGAAGATAGTATTTTTAATAACTTCTTTTCTAGAACTTGGATGTTTCAGTCCATGGTGAATTTGTGTTGCAAGAGACGAATTTGTTGTTTTCAATGCATCTAGTATTTACAAGCACTAATGATTTGTTTACAAGTGGACTCTAAATATATTGTAATTAATTTTAATTTGTTTAACGCATCCTTGCAAGTACTAGTGAACGCCAGTTTATAAACGTGTTTTAGAGTGTTTTCGAGTGTTGTAGAATGTGGTATGTTGGTTCTAGTTCTGTGACTCAACGTTTGAAACTCAAGGATTCAAAGTAAAAACTGTAAAGAAAACATCAAAAATCAAAAGAGAACACAAGGATTTTTTCGCTAAAGGCCTCGGAGTTCAGCAGCCACTTTTAGCGCTTAATTCCTGTTGAGCATCCGTTAGAATTAAGTTCGAATTCACTATAAACCCCCAAATATAGGCAATGGTTTACGAACATCGATGTTCTCAAACTCACGATAACTGCTCACAAAAAAATTATTGTATTTACTCTCTCTCTCTCTCTCTCTCTCTCTTACAATATAGTACCTCACACAAAAATCACCAAGAATCATTCAGAGGATGACTAAAATACAACCAGAGAACAAAATGGGAAACACAACTCGTACAATCGAGGTTGACAACCTCTCACAGTGGTGGCTCCCAACGTGTGTTAAAAAAATAAAAAAATTATTCACCTACCCATCCCATGTGTGAGTGGTTGTCAACTGAAGTTGTCAACCTCGATTGTATAAGTAGCACAGTCCGAACAAAATACATGAAGGGGAAAAAGAGACTGAATTGATAGAAACCCTAGAGTTACTCTCGTGCCAATTATATGATACTAAGGCAATAGTGCTCATCCAACGTTTGTCAACCTCGATTGTACAAGTAGCACAGTCCGAACAAAATACATGAAGGAGAAAAAGAGACTGAATTGATAGAAACCCTAGAGTTACTCTCGTGCCAATTATATGATACTAAGGCAATAATGCTCATCCAACGTGCAAACAAATTCACGTGTCAACCATCCAGAAGAGTTGCATTTTAATATAAAAGTAGTGTTTCAACAAAACGCTTTTTCTCCAATCTAGAATGTTCAGGCAACTGGATCATCAATTTGGCCCGTGTAATGGACAATATCTCAGGGCAATAGTGATTGGGCTACCAAATTACAGCAACAAAACACACAATCTTCTCCTTTGCTGAAATTTGAGACCCTACTAAATGTGGATTCAAACTTAATCAGTAGACTTCATTTACTATTATTTACTTGTTCACAGAGACAAAAAGTTAGTTGGATTCAAGATTCTGCCGTGCTTGTTGTAGATTAAAATTAGATTTTTAGTAAATTTTAATAAAAGTTGATGAAATGTGGATTAAAAAGTTATGAGTCTCATGAAATGTGTGCTTAAAATTAATTGTTGACTTTGACTTGATATTAAAATTAAATTTTAATTTGTACCAAACAGGGGCTCAATAATCTCAAGGAATCATTGAATTTATTTTGTGGTATTATCTTAGTACCTGCATCAGCCGGATTTACCTTAGTGGGTATTTTAATCAACTTAATATCACCTTTTTCAATTATATCATGAAACTTAATATTTACATGTTTAATGCAATAATGAAAAATTGAGTTTTTACTCAAGAAAATAGCACTTTGATTATAAGAATGAAGCTCCACCTAATTTCTATAAAACCTAACTCTTTTAGTAAACCTTTCATCCAGAGACATTCTTTGAAACTTTGATTGCAGAATACAACATTTGAGGTGAGAAAAACCCCCCTTATGAACTTTAAAATGTGGTACACCTCTTACAGTCCAATGTCGTTAGTTTAACCATTAAAAAGAGTAAAAATTGCCAAAATTGTAAATAAATAATTGCAGTCGTGATCTCAAACATTTTTTTTTTTTTTTTTTTTGTACAAATTATATTCAATTTTTTTTTTATATGCCAACCACGGTATCAAACCATTAAAATTTTATTTTCTATCCTACCCCACTTCATATTCTTCCCCCGCCCACCTCATCCATCCCCAAACCAAAATTGTGCAAAGTTATCTTAATCAATCATTGAGCGAAGCTATCAAAGAATCAAAGATTGGGGTTGATGGGATAGGTTGGGGATTTCTTCAAGGATGGTTACCCCTCTGTTAACCCAATGATTTCTCCATTTTCAGAAACTAACCGTCCTTAAAAGAGAAAACTAAACCAAGTAAATAATGATACAATAATTTCCTGTTTGTGCTCTATTCTTGTTATATATTTGGCAGGCTTCAATGTTGAGCCGCCGATTGGCGAAATTTATAAATTGTTTCGGAGTTTCTGCTAATTTCACTTCCAGGAAGTTGAGCTGCTGAGTAGAAAGGGCCTATGATGATTTTTTTTTTTTTGGCTTTTCAACCAGTTTCTGATTTAATGGATCGGATATTGAGATAATTTGATCTGTATCTTGGCGTGCCAACACTGGACGGCTCTGTGACTAGGGTTTCTTTAACAGATGCAACCAGTTTTACAGCCACGGTGACGTCAATTTCTCTTTGCCTGTTTATTTTTCACATATCTGAGCCTCGATTTAGGTTTTCTCCCCTTTTTCCCTGAAGCCTGATTTTATTTTTAATTATGGTGAATTTATTCATATTTTTTGTATACTAAAATCCCTTATAAAATTAAGAAAAGGGAAGATTTGGGGGAAAAATGGGGTTTGGGGTGGATGTAAAGCTGTCAAGATGGACGGATCGGCCAGATTCGTGAAAATCGGTCCGTGAAAAGCGGGACCACGGGCCGCCCCGTGACCCGTGCGGACGATTCACGGGCCAAAGAGGTGTAA